TTGCATTTCCTAAAGGCAAAGTAAATTCACATTTTCATGATATCACATTTTGATGCTTTGTACAGTTTTTTTTCAAGCATTCGGACGGGAGATGAGTGTTACAAATTGTACGAATCAATGGGATGCCTACATTAGACTTATCGCTCTAATTTATTTTGTATATCAAATGTCTCACCATTATTTCTCATCTTTCTTTCTCATTAGTGTTCATGTTGATCAATATTTTGGCTATGCTGGCCTATTGTAAATTATCAAATAAACATTTGATCAATACATACAATTCTGAACATATAATTTATAATGCTAATGCAGAGGCACCAATAAATTGTCCAGTACACTTATTGTATGCTGTACATTCCCTTATGTTTAAGCTTCTAAGGTGACTCAGGCTTTACTAATTATTGTGAAGAATTGTATCAGTGAACTGTATTCTGTAATTAGTTACAAAACAATGGAAATGCAATTGTGTATTTCTGCTGTTTGTCAGTTATCCAACAGTCCATGATCAGCTTTGTTGACCATGAGAGCATTTTGCAGAGAAAATGGGTTGAGGCATACTATTTAGTCTCAGAATGACATGTGGCTGATTGTTTACCTGGTCATCAATGACATGTGGCCCATTGTTTACCTTGTTACCTGGCAATGACCACAAGGGAGTTTCAAAGAGCTGTCAGTGAAGTCGAGCTCATGAATATAAGCTCCCCACCCACTCAGCCTGTTCTTTCAGGCTTCCTGATAGTTAGAGAGAAAAGGTACAATTTCTTCAATTCTGAGCATTTTAATAGCGTACAAATATTATGGGTGATGTTTGTGACTCGTTTCAGGAAACTAGGCGTATGTCGTGTCACTACTTCACAGGTTAGACTTTGAACGTAAACTTTTTTTTGTATGAAAATGTGTTTTTTGGCAGAAATGCCTTCTAGAACATGTGAACTTTCATGTGCCTTAATAACAAACTTGTATGCCATCTGTAAATACAAGTACAATTGTTAAATTACGAGCCAAGTTGGTTTAGCCACAGAAAAAGACAGCAACCTTCCCGCTAGCCATGATTGGCTGAGATAATGAGTGGGCTGGACATGCCGAGAGATAAGTTCGGATTGGTCTGCCATGTAGCATGCTTCTGTCTATAATATGAGCTGGTCAGTATGTGTAGGTAATCCCTTCTAACACAGCTTTTTTAAAAAGATATCACGTAGTAGAACTGCATAAGTGTTGCTCTCCACTTTCTGGAGGACCGACTTTTGAAATCAGTGGAATTAGAGTATGAAAGCTAAGGAGATGGAGAAAATGCTGGTGTTTGATTGCAAATATGCAGACGGAGTCAAAAAGAGAACACACAGAAGGCTGTTATATAAAACACCTGTATCCAGATTACATCTTCAAACTAAGGGCAACCATTGCATCCATGACAGAGCGGGAGAAGCATCCATCCGTTTATGCGGGTAAGAGAGTCTAGCTAGCTACATTTTCAGATATGACATGTTTCTAATTTTGTCAGAAAATTGTTTTCATTTCAAGTTAAAGTATACTGTTAGCTAGCTAGCTAACGTTAGCTGGCTGGCTAGCTAGCTAACTTTACGTGTATGATCTGTGTAGTAATATTATTCGTATTTCAGAGCCATTTGCATTGCTAGTTATAGCCGATTGTTAGCCAGCTAACATTGAACCTGGTTGGTTAGCTACCTGCAGATTCATACAGGGTAGTAACGTTATGAGTTGGGATTATGGTTCATTGTTTAGCTAGCTAGCTACATGTCTAAACAAAAGACTCCACTATGCAAGTAACTATTTCAATAGGATGTTTATGATGTCACTGCGACAACTGTCGATAGACGTAGCTAGTAAATTCGCTTTGGTTATCTACTCCGATTTCAGAGCACTCTCGTCTGAGTGTGCCAGAGCGCAGAATAACTGACAAATTTACGAACGCTCAACACCTTTTGAATATGGCCGGTGTCAGTAAATGTTGGCAAAAAAGCGTAGTTACATTTATGCCAGCAACACAGTTGCAGTCACCAACGCTCTGGATAACATAAAAACAGCATAACCAGCTCTGCTAGGGTGAGTAAAATGGTCACAGTGAGCTGCTCTCTCATTTGTGTCTGGAAGTAGCTAGCCAACGTTAGCCAGTTAGCTTGGGTGCTTGACTGCTGTTATCTCAGAATGCACGGATCAACCCAGCTTTTCGTACAGAGCGTCCAGTGTGCGCTCTGAACGCTCCGAGAGCGAAACACTCTGAATTTATGAACGGCCAATCTGACAACGCTCTCCAGATAAAATGTACGAACACACCCGTAGTATAAACCAGCCTTTAGTCTTGAAATATTTGGTTGTTTAGTACATAGCCTCACATGTGAATCCTTAAAGAGATGGGTGGGGCTAAAACTTAAGAGGGTGTGAACGATGCTGAATGGGTGTAGACAAAGAAGAGCTCTCCAGTAGGTTTACCAAAACATTCAAGGGCCATTTTCTCAAAAGTGAGGTTACAAGTTTATCAACTTTCAAAGCAGAATTACTTTCCCATTGTTCCTCAACTGTAGTGTATGATATACCATTTTCTAGCTCTGAGTTACTACTTTTATCCAATGTAAAAAACACAATTTCAAGTTTTGCCACATAAGACCAACGAATCGAACCGGTCGGTCACATTATCGGTCATTCAAAGTATATTTTTACTTGGGAAATAGGATTACTGTGCGGGACTTAAAAAAAAAAAAACTCTAACTTGTATCTTAAACAGACCTTTTGAAAAATGCTTGCTGTTTCCTCATTGAGGATGATGTCATTCTCCTGAGGAGGATGAGCTGGCCAATCAGCGGTCTACTCACGCAAATATTTTTAATGACCAGTATACGGCCTCACTATTCTGTTGTTGGGGTATGCCCACACCATTTCAATACAGAAAAGTTGCTTTTTAACATACTATTTCATGCGTATCGTGATTAATTATGTGAAATATTTCATAGAAATCTGGAAACACTGGACATTTACCTTTAAAATTGCAAGGTCTACTCTCTGCCTCAAGGCAAAATGTGTAGAATTGCAGTATATTATCTTTAAAGATGCAACAACAAAACATTTCTCTGTCCCCATGACAAAATGTGTAGAATTGCAGGAAATTATTTTTTCACTCCAATGCCGAGATGTGGGCCTTTGAAATGTTCCTTCCCAGGGCCCGATACTTGGTTTGTCCGGCCATGCGCTGCCGAAGTCATGGTAAAACTCTTTCTATGCTATTTTTATCTCACTCGTGTTGTGTTGTTTGCTATCACAAAAGTGGAGAACCCCTGGTCTAGCACCTCTCCTGCTGTCTGTTGCCTTACACAGCACTGCCATCTAGAGGTGGAAAATAGGTTTTCATGCTCTACCAGTAAATAAAGGACACTATCTTTATTACATTTACTGTAGTTTTGTTTCCAATTCAGCTTATTTGATCAAAAGTTTTTCTCAACTTTTATAAATAGAAGTCAAGATCACTTCATAGTAGTTGATTGAAAGAGAAACAACATGTTATATCTCTTTATCTCTTGATATCTCTTGATATACCATGTTAGAAAACATCTTCCTACATTTGGAAATGCTAAACCTTCTATGTTTGACGGATGCAAAAAAATGTGTCCCACCTGATATCTTGTCTATATGACGCTTTTCAATCGGTTAGCACACCTTCTACAGATGCCATTAAGACAAAATGAGTGGAAGAGCTAGACACTGACATTTCTGTAGCAGACTGGGAAGATAGCTTGGAGTATATCCACACCTGCTCCATTAACTCCAGACATCGTCTCATACAATTCAAGATGTCACACAGATTACACTATTCCAAAACTAAGCTGCATAGGATATTTCCTGATACCTCCCCTATGTGTGATAAATGGCATGCTGCGGAGGGTACACTACTCCACTGCTTTGCCCTATGCTCTAACTTGTATGGTTATTGGTGTGGAATTTTTAGGATCCTCTCTGAAGTTCTGGAGACTTTAATTGACCCAGACCCGCTTCTGATCATCCTGGGAGTGTCAGAAACCCTAAACAGATTAACCAACCCCCCAAAACAACTCACCTCTCACGGTCTCATTTCTTCAAAAAAAATTATCTTGTTGTTTTGGAAAAGGAAGGAAGTTCCCTCTACCAAATTATAGCTCAGCGATTTGGCAAATCTGGCAACCTCTCCTCTCTTATTTGGACCATTCGGCACTGTGAATTTTGTACATTTCAATACACTCTCACTTGTGATATTTTAATCTACCATTGGGCGGCATGTGCTTGCCCCCGTTACCCGAGCAGTGGGGGGGAGGGGGTGGTGGGGTTGATGGATGATGAAGGGGGGGTTGATGGAGGGATTGATATGGGGGGTGACATCTGCCCTCCCCTTTCTGTTTACCTGTCCTTGTTCTGTATGTCTTATTTTGTATTATTAATTTTTTACCTATAACTCTGGGTCTTTTTGTATCTGTCTGCTCTTTTATGTTTATATAAGAATTGCATACTTGTCTTTCCTACAAAGTACCTATACACCATTCTTGTGTGTGTTCAATAAAACATATTTGAGCAAGATATCTCTTGATATGTCAAACACGTACTTTAGAAATGGTAATTGTAAAAATACATTGAATGGCAAACCAAATCCAGGATGTCACTAGATCTACTTCCTGCTGATTGGTCCAAGTTTTTTGTACCATCAGGGAGAGCCAATCACGTTCAGTGAGGAGGTCTTTGTGACCCACCGCTCCAGTGCCATGAGACAGTTCCTGCAGAACGCCATCCAGCTACAGCTCTTCAAACAGGTACACACACACACACACACACACAATAACAGGTACACACACACATACACACACAATAACAGGTACACACACACACACACACACAATAACAGGTACACACACACATAGTAATTGTGACACAACAGAATAAGTTAATCACATTTGCCTACATGAATCAATGAAAGAAACATTCCATGTATAACTGGGATAAACCTTTCTCCCTCTCTGTAGTTCATCGATGGCCGCTTGGAACTTCTGAACGCCGGTGAGGGCTTCAGGGATGTTTTTGAGGATGAGATCAACATGGGAGAGTATGCAGGTGTGTGCAGCACACATTGAATACAACCATATAAAACATTTCTACTAGGTCATTTCACTAGGTCTCAAAGCACATTTACTTTATCTTTGGGGACTGGCAGACATTTGGTGTGCCACAATGCATGCTTACCACAAACCACTGTCGTGTTCAATAGGCAAGAAACAGTAGGCAGCATTTTGAAACGGAGGTAGGCTGCTACCTGAACTGGTCCAACAAGAATGCTCATTGGTCCTCTGTAGCTCAATTGGTAGAGCATGGCGCTTGTAACGCCAGGGTAGTGGGTTCGATCCCCGGGACCATCCATATGTAAAAATGTATGTACACATGACTGTAAGTCGCTTTGGATAAAAGCGTCTGCTAAATGGCATATTATTATTGATGTATGATTATATTGACGTTCTCCGTTTTGAAATTACTAATTTTTCAAGCCTACTGACCACGAGCCAGTTATTGCAGTGGGAGTGTCAATGGCCCTAATGCTAACCAATGTCCCATGACTAACCTGTATAGAATATAGAATGCCCACTATGTTAAGGCATTGACCTTTCACCACAGGTGCCTTTCATCCCTGTGACCTCACCTCTGTGTTAACTCCACAGGCAGCGACAAGAACTACCACCAGTGGCTGTTCACAGTCAAGGTAGGTCTTCAAAGACAAGTAATGCATTCTAACCCATCTTTCACGCTGTTCAAAGTATACATATTTCTTTACTCACATTCATGCTAATAATTCAAACCTTTTGGATTTTCATGTTAAAAAAACCAACCTGTCTCCCTATGAGCACAATATGTTGCAACAAGTTATTTTTGGTTGTGCTCTCTGGGCTACCGCTGTTGTTGGTGTACAGCTGTTAGCCGTGCTGCCAACAATGGTTTTGTCTCCAACAGAAAGGGGGCGGTGCTATCTTCAACACAGTGAGGACCAAGGCTAACCCTGCCATGAAAACGGTCTATAAGTTTGTAAGTGTCCTCCTATCACGACTATTACACCATGACACTCCCAAAATATTTCACTACTGTACACTTTGTCTCATATTGATGCCACTTTAAAGGTAGACTCTGCAAGATGACTCCCTACATCAACAACAACAGAAACAAAATCTGTTTAGTAAACCCCTCTGTGTTTTTCCTCCAAAGGCTAAAGATCATGCCAGGATGGGGATAAAGGAAGTCAAGAGCAGGCTAAAACAAAAGGTACGTAGTCCTTTTGTTTGGATTTTGTTAAATCTGATCTACATAAAATTGATATTTATCTTTGGCCCAAATCACAGGCTGATTAATAACTTTACAGAACACAACTGTCACACACGCACACACATGCACAAGCAGACATGCATGCAAACACACACACACGCTGCCACTCAATGGGCTAAATAAATCACTCACTGATGGTTTTCCTCTCCCACACCGGGCTGTCACTCACTCTTCCCTCCACTGTGAGTTCACCTCTCAAACTAACCCTCTGTTGACCTCTCAACTTGACCCTCTTTACTCCTGCCTCAATTCTCCTCCTTCAAAACTCTCACTCTTGTTTTTCTCTCCTTTTAACGCTCACTCACTCAAACTCTTTCTCCATATCTGGCCCTATTCCTTAAATCCTCTTTGGCACTTTATTTGTCCTATTTTTACCCTCCTTTAGCCGTCCACTACCCCCGAACCCCTCACATATGCCCCCCTGGCACTGATCCCCCCCCTCCACTATAGCCCTGTAGGGCCTCCTCCCTCGACCTCCCCCTTTCCCTCCACAGAGACCATCACCACCACTACCCCCTCTGGCCATGTCAACCTCCTTCATCTTTTTGTTCCCCTCTCCAGGAGCTGGCAGAGAACGGCTACTCCTCGACAGCAGACACAGGTGGCACAGGAGCAGGTACCGGGGAGGAAGGCACCACAGCCGGGTTGCCCCCCTCCGCCGACGGGAAGGACGGTGCCCACACCTGGGACGAACGGCGGCCCATCACAGCACCCTTTGGACAGGTCGGGAAGGAGGGGGGGTGGGATGAGTTTCTGAGATCTGAGATCTAAGCGTGTGTGTATTAATGCCTCCTGTACGCTGCTTACATACTGTAAGTCTATACAAAAACATAAGCCGCGTACAAAACCTTGCATATCTTCAACTCTCCGATCTCTCCTCCCTGACTGTCAATCTGTCAGACTGATTTTCAATGCTCCTATATTTAGGAACACTATCCTCTTAAAAGCCTTGTCCCATATCCTACATTCTTCCTTTTGCATCTCTCCTTTCAGCTTGTCAATTCACTTCTGTGTAACAGATGTCTATAGAAAAGTCTCCCCCAGTCTTTCCTATTTACAGTCATCATTAACAGAAATATATACTGTACCTCTATCCGATTAGCGCAGTGTGAGTGTCCTCCTTATGCTGCTGTCCGTTCAATCATTCCCTCACAATCACTGTCACTATCACTCTGCCATTGTCATTCCATCTCTTCTGTTGCACTCGTTCCTTGTCATTTGTCATGCTGTTTCAGCCGCTCTGGCGTGCATGTCTCTGAGTCTCCACTACGCTCTTCTCCATCATTGTTCCTTTTCTTCCGTAGTTCCTCCTTTTCATCTCTGCCGTGCACATGTCTTTGTTCGGTTTCTCTAGTATGAAATCACATGGACATTTCGAAACATAATAACAATAACATTGGTTCTCAGTTAAACCACTCCACTAATTAGTGTGGAGAGAGATGGGAGAGAGAAAAGTGAGAGAGACAATGTCTTTCAGGTGTTGCTCCCAGCACCATCCATCCATCCATCTCTCATTCCTCTCATTAGAGCGCTGAATAATTATGACACACACACGTCCTCTCTCTCTCTCTCTCTCTCTCTTACACACACACACACATTCATACATGTTAGGACAATGTTCTGGAAAGGCGTTGTGATCGGCAATGGGGATACAGTGTCAATTAGCTGATACTTTGTAAGAGGAAGGCCTAGCAACAACTGTTGTCATGAAGGAAGATATTGTGGTGGCTCTTATATGTGTGCATATGGTGTGGAGTTGATGTTGTGGTGTAATTGTGTAATGGTTGTGTGGTGGTCTGTGTTTTTATGTGTCTATGTGTGTGTGTCTATGTGTGTGTGTATATGTGTGTGTGTGTCTATGTGTGTGTGTCTATGTGTGTGTGTGTACATCATCATGTCCTTCCATTGCTATGTGTGTGTGACCCTTGGGTGTCTCTGGTGCAGCCCCTCCGAGCCCCTCCCCCTCGTCCCCATCCTCCCAGGCTCCAGTGCGGCAACTCGCAGCCCGTAAGTACCTCCCCCCTCTACCGCTCATATCTGGCCTTGGCACCTGAGTTTGTGGTTTGGAGTGTGTGTGTGTGTGTGTGTGTGTGTGCGTGCAAGCTCACCGACTGGCATACTGTCTGACTATGCGCTGTGGATATGTCCCATCTTTCAGACTGTTCTCTCAGACATACAGGATGACCTTTGTCTTAACATAACATTGACTGGCAAGACAAATCCACACGCATTCATTAACCTGAAACTTTTTTCTGTTTGAGTGTGGGTGTATTACCTCCTTTGTGTGTGGATGCGTGTCTACGTATGTTTATATCTGTGTATGTATGTGTGCACATACGCATGCGCGCACCTGTGTTACTGCGTGTCGTGGGTTTGCCGTGTCCACCAACCACTGGCGCACAGCTTTTTTTAACAGTTACTAAACCTCATGGCTGCTGGACGGGGATATTGGAAATTGAACCAGGGTTTATTGACTGACACTACTTTCTTAACAAAAACGAAGGAATTTATAAGACTTTTTCTTGCACAATACAGGTTCAGCAGACCCACTTATCGTATGGGGTGCCTTTTAATGTGCATTTACAGACCATTCGATTACATTTTCATCCCAAACACAAAAACGGTATCGGTCAACAGAGAATAGATTTACAACAGAAATAGAAAATCTAATATTACACGTCAATGAAGTTGATAAATGTACTACAGAAGCACTGAATTATCTACACGCAAAACAGAAGGAGTTTGAGGAACTTATTCATGAAAGAATGGGTATAATTTCTCAAAAAAACAGAGCAAATTGGATGGATAACAGCGAAAAGTATTTCCTAAGCCTTTAGTATAGAAACGCGACCAAAACGATGGAGAAATCCTTACCTCACCACACAAATATTTTTAAACAAAAGTTCCTCCAACCTCACTTGACGATGAGTTTTGTGATATCCATCTCCAAAAACTATACTGAACAAAAATATGAATGCAACATGCAACAATTTCAAAGATTTACTGAATTTCAGTTCATATAAGGAAATTAGTCAATTGAAATACATTCATTAGGCCCTAATCTATGGATTTCACATGACTGGGAATACAGATATGCATCTGTTGGTCACAGATACCTTAAAAAAAAGACCAGTCAGTATCTGGTGTGACCCCCATTTGCCTCATGCAGCGTGAGTTGATCAGGCTGTTGATTGTGGCCTGTGGAATGTTGTCCCACTCCTCTTCAATGGCTGTGCAAAGTTGCTGGATATAGGTGGGAACTGGGACACGCTGTCGTACACGTCGATCCAGAGCATCCCAAACATGTCTGGTGAGTATGCAGGCCATGGAAGAACTGAGACATTTTCAGCTTCCAAGAATTGTGTACAGATCCTTGCGACATGGGGCCGTGCATTATCATGCTGAATCATGAGGTGATGGCGGCAGGATCTCGTCACGTTATCTCTGTGCATTCAAATTGCCATTGATAAAATGCAGTTGTGTTCGTTGTCCGTAGCTTATGCCTGCCCATACCATAACCTCACTGCCACCATGGGGCACGCTGTTCAAAATGTTGACATCAGCAAACCGCTCGCCCACACAACACCATACACATGGTCTGCGGTTGTGAGGCCGGTTGGACGTACTGCCAAATTCTCTAAAAAGACATTGGAAGCGGCTTATGGTAAGAAATTAACATTCAACTCTCTGGCAAGAGCTCTGGTGGACATTACTGCAGTCGGCATGCCAATTGCACGCTACCTCAAAACTTGAGACATCTGTGGCATTGTGTTGTGTGACAAAACGGCACATTTTAGAGTGGCCTTTTATTGTCCCCAGCACAAGGTCCACCTGTGTAATGATCATGCTGTTTAATCAGCTTCTTGATATGCCACACCTGTCAGGTGGATGGATTATCTTGGCATAGGAGAAATGCTCACTAACAGGGATGTAATCGAATTTATGCACAAAATTTGAGATAAATACGTTTTTTGTGCGTATGGAACATTTCTGGGATCTTTTATTTCAGTTTATGAAACATGGGACCAACACTTTACATTTGGGTTTATATTTTTGTTCAGTATATCTGTGACACAAAAAATCTTGTGAAGGCCTAATTACACAGGACAAACTATGGTTGGCAATCGTTTCCTTTCAGACGGGGAAAACCCCTGGCCTCAATGGCATTCCAACCCCCCCCCCCCCCCACACTCACACACACACACACTTTGCCCTCAGAACAGCCTCAATTTGTTGAGGCATGGACTCTACAAGGTGTCGAATTCGTTCCACAAAGATGATGGCACATGTTGACTCCAACACTTCCCACAGTTGGCTGGATATCCTTTGGGTGGTGGACCATTCTTGATACACACAGGAAACTGTTGAGCATGAAAAACTCAGCAGCGTTGCAGTTCTTGACACAAACTGGTATGCCTGGCACCTACTACCATACCCCGTTCAAAGGCACTTAAATATTTTGTCTGACCCATTCACTCTCTGTATGGCACACATCCATGTCTCAATTGTCTCAAGGCTTAAAAATCCTTCTTTAACCTGTCTCCTCCCCTTCATCTACACTGATTTGAATTGGATTTAACAAGTGACATCAATAAGGAATCATAGCTTTCACCTGGATTCACCTGGTCATTCTATGTAAAGGAAAGAGCAGGTGTTCATAATATATGGTACACTTCAGATTACTGGTGGTAGTATAAAGGTTTATAGTGAACACGATGACACAAGATCAATTGCTTAAAACAGACCAATATCTTTGGTTTTGTTCTGTTGATTTTGTGATACACGCTGGGGGTCGCAGGACTTAAAACGCAGGTATCATTGGGGGTCGCAGGACTTAGAACGCAGGTATCATTGGCACTGATAATTTGGGGCGGTCTCTTTTTAAAAGTTGCTGGCCACACACCAATACACTGTTTTGACAGTCTAACTATCGCTTAAAT